TTAAAATAGCATATTTAGCCTTAATAAGATGATTGGCTAATTTGAAATACTATATAATTCAAATATTTTCTACCTAATTCCTTTACTTTAAGAAAAATGGAGCACTAAGGTATTTAAACCTCAATTAATTCAAAATTGGTGGTAGTAGTGGGGCAGTGATTTGATAATTCTTAGTTTTTAGAAGTAATGCTATGAGTAACAAAAATAACTTGATAGCTGCATATTGACTATTATAGTTTTAGGTATAATGAAATCAAATTATAGACCTGCATTTAGTTCTGATTTGCTGTGTCTTCTTGGAAAAATCATGCCACAGCTTTGTGATTCTTTTTATCAAGTCTATTGGTTAATGCTGCTTGCACAATCACAAAACTTTTTAGAAAGTTTACAGATAAAATATGCCATAATCCTTACATATAATTTTCAATAATAACCTTTATTTAGCACAAGCTCTTTCTTTGTGGTAATTGCTTTGAAACGAAGGTATATATTATGGAGTATTCACATATTAGGACATTTGTTCTTGTAGAGTTACTGGTTAAAACCACATGCAAGTTTGTATGAATAATAATAACCATTAAAAAGAAAACCGAAGTTAATTTTAAGATGTGGGGAAAAGTGCTTTTAAGAAGATCTGAAAACTAAATTGAAGTAACTCAAGATACTCAATAAATAATTTATTAACAGAACCCATTTTTATATGTGTGAGAGCTCTCAAAGTTATGACATGTTCTTTCCAATGCTGCAATCGGGTTCTCTTGGTGAACCATGGTGGTTCTATAGTTCACATGGTGATTTTATAGGTGGAAGAGCAAACTTTAGCCCAAGCTCTGTCAGTCTTCCATAAGTTCAGTAATGGTCTCTTACTCTACTTTGTAACTCTTTATAAGCATATGCTATTATTCATACTGTCATTTAAATGTTTTTTTCCCAAAAGAAATTATTTTCTTATTTTCCTGATATTAAAAAAGGCAGGCTTATAGAAGTTTTGTAAATTAAAAAAGAAATGAATAAATATCATCGATATTGTAATTCTTTTTCAAATGTAACTATAGCATTTTAGTGTAGAGGATTTCATTTTATATTTCAAATAGAAATATATTTAACAAAAATTTATATATATAAATGTGATTTGAAAAGTTTTAAGACTAGATCTTCACCCTTCAAACTATGATACATGTTTTTATATCAAAACATATGATGCTATATTTTAATAGTTTATAAATTTTATGCCATATTATAATAAAATTATACTAATGACTTAATTTACCGTTCTTTGTGAGTATTATTGGAGATTTAGTTTTTCTCTCCAGTTTTTTTTTCTTTTGTTGTCATTATTAGAAATCATGCTATGGTGAATACATTTTACATCTAAGTATTTTTGTATAATTATGATTATTTCCATAGAAATATTTGTAGAATTGCTGAAAAACAGATGATCTGGTTTTGACATATATTGATAGCTTTTTGACACATTTTTGACAAAATCCCCTTTAGCAAGTGCTATATCAATCTATGTTCCTAACAGCTGTTTGGATATTATCCATTTTCCCACTTAATTTTATCGTGTTTTAGCAATTCGGTAGGCAAAAGTGGCATCTCGTTGTTTTAATTGCATATTTGTTATTAGTTAGGTTAAACTCTTTAAATAATTTCTGTCCATGGAATTGCCAGTCACATTCTTAGTCTGTTTTTTCTTGATAATGTTTTTAAAATCACAGTTTAAGTGCAGTTTATATATTCTAAAGCTATTAGCATTTTATCATATTGTACCGATTTCTTTCCTCAGTACTTCTCCTTTAAATACAAGTTGATCATTGACTTTTCTGTGCAGCAGTTTCATATTCTAGCCATTAGTTCCTCTCTCCTCTGTGATCTACAAGTAGTTGGGATATAATAATAATAATAATAATAATAATAATAATAATAATCGTAATAAAAAATACTGCCTTCACAATAGGGCATTGTAATGACTGATTACATGACTTTATGAATTCTTAGCCAAAGAAGAGGGCAAGGATTATATATAACTCATCCTTGTATTCTCAGTGACTAACCAAATGCTTTGCACGTATGTGGTTCTTAATATGAGTTGAATTAGACTATTACAATCTTGCACCCCTTTCCCTGAAGATACCCACAAACTACATATATTTTCTACCCTTTGTTCTACTGTGAAGAACCATTTGCTATTTTTTGTATTACAATCATGAGCTTTTGCAGTATTGTTTTGTAGTTAACAGCCATGGCCATGGAGGCAGCGAAACCAAGGTTTGAATTCAGGCTTCACTCTACCAGCTTTCTAGTTGTGTGACCTTGAATAAAGCTTCAGACTACCCATCCATAAAAGAGGGGTTATTACAGTTTCTATTGTCCTGATATGTAATAAGATTTTGATGTCTACCCAATAAAAGGTAAACAAATAGTTGGTATTTGCTAAATTGCTATTATTATTATTATTATTACTACTACTACTACTACTACTACTATTATTATTATTATTACAATCAAAGCTAGCCAAATACTCCAGATAAATTGTGGTACTGTAACTGTTAAAGTCTAAATTATTACTTATTGCATTATAACTTACTACATGTTACCTGTATTCTCGCTTTAGAAAAACTTTATGAACATATTTCCAAGTATTTAAGTACATATTTTTAGACAAATTATATAGGCATGAACTTAAAAAAAAACATCTGAATGTTTTAGATGTTAGAAAGAAGAGTAATGAATATCCTGCTTATTAAAATAAATTATATCAATACAGGTAGGCTGTTATTCTCAAATAGTAAGCAAATTCCTGATATATACACATCATTCAGTTTTCATTAGGGAATAAATGACTATAATTAATCTATACTAATACTTGGCAACTTTCCTATTTTAATAAAACCCAGGTAAATGAATTTTTAATAGATATAAATGACTATGAAAACATTTTAGAAATCTATTATGTTCATATTAACAAGGAAAAAAAAGAGTAGAATGGTATATACAACATTTTTAGTGGTCAACAATTGAGCCAACTAATTATAGATGACTTATCCTTTCAAAACGACAATTAAGTCAAGTTCCATTATAAATTTCCTCTGCATTATACTTTTCCAAATTTCCATCTCCTCAATATTTTTGCTTTTGAGGTGATGTTTCCTACTGATAATACTACATAAATATATTTGATAATGCTTCTTGTTCTTTGCATCTAATGTTTGACATCAGCCAAAGTCCGGATGTACATTTGGAAACTTGTGCATACAGAAGATAAATGTTAATGATTATTCAGCATAAGATTACATTACTCTAGTGTTTCTCCTTGCTTGTTTGATATGCTGTCAAAACAATATGTTGGTAGAAGGTAGCAGCCTAGCCATTGAGTGTATTAATTGGTTTAAATAGACATGGAAAAGGGGGAATATCTGTGACCTTCATGCAACAAAACATTTGTGATTTCATAAAATATTAATATTTTGTTTTAACTGGGAACACAAAAGGCAAATAATTAGTCTTAAAAGTCACAGTTAACGTTTCACAATAAAAGACTGTACTTGCTGATAATACCATTTATTTCACTAAATTACCTACAAAATATTTTTAAGCATATTCATGGTAGAATAATAATGACAGTGATAGTGGATATTTCAAAAGAAAAATACAGTTATATCTCCATGAGACTGTTGTCAATCTTTAGATACTTATCAAAACAAAAGGGAAATGTCAATGGCAATCCATTTTTTTTTTGAAAGATTTTTATTGGGGAATTGGGGGGTTGGGAACAGTGTTGGGGAATTGGGGGAAGGGGAACAGACAAGTTGCTGTCGTTTTTTGTTCTTCAGTCTAGTTGTGGAGGACGCTGCCCCACTGGCCCAAGTTGGCACCATCATTGCGCTCTTCCCAAGCGAGGCAGATCGGTCGCTGGCTTCTGGACGGCCGCTCACTGCGGCTGCTAGCTGCACACGCTGGCTGCCAGCCACACACGGTAGCCCATGGCAACCCACTGCCACAGGGGCTGCAGCCTGTGCCTTCCCCCGCGACTCACGGCAGCCCAGCTCCAGGTTGAGCTGCTGTTCAGCATCTTAGCTGCGGAGGGCAGTGTCACTGGCCCTCATATGTGGGATCCGAACCGGGGCCCTCTGGTGTCCCAAGCCAGTTCTTAACTATCGCGCCATTCGGCCGGACCAATGGTCATCCATTTTGTTGAACATTTTAGTCTTTATTTCTTTCCTGTTTAGAATAACTATGCAATACCAGTAGAGGGATATTTACTTTCTTAAAGTTGTATTTTACTTTCAAGGTTGATCTTTAAGGAACTTCAAGATAATAGTTATTATAGTTCATTAAGAGAAGGTGAGTTCTCTATCAAATAAGTAATTGCATTTGACATACATGAGAACAGACTTTTCTCATTGTTTTAAAAGCTTCCTGAATAAATAAATGAAAGTGTTTTAGAATGTACTCTTTTATGGAAATGTTATAATACTCATACTCAAACCTATGTGATTTTTAAAAATCAGTATTTAATCAACATACTGATATTTCAAATTAAAAAATTATTTATTACAAAAGAATTCATTTTAAAAAATTGTGATCAGTACCAATAAGCTTCATTAAAGCTAAGGAGACCTGGCTTGCCCAGGATTTTCTTGATTTCAAAACTGAAAAGGAACCCTCTCAGCCCTGGGAACCCCCAGTTCTGGGAACCCCTCAGTCCTGGGAATCCCTCAGTCCTGGGCAAACTGAGAGGGTTGGTCACCCTAGTCACAGATCACTTAAGTACATGATGCCATAAATACACAAAATACAAAATACAACCAAGAATAAGACTGTCGATGTGACTCATAAAATTTCAAATCACCTTAAAGGGGGGGCTGACTTAACTGATTTAATTATTCTGGTTAGAAGAGTATTGTGTTTGTACAAAGTCTGTTTAAAAGAAAAAAAAAGCGCTGCTTAACATAAGTTATAACAATGCTCAAAATTTACCTTAATAAGGTACTTACTTCTGTAAAAATTCTTCAAAGCCACATATACTTAGAAGATAATCTTTTGGAGTTAACTGGTCATTTGTACAAAAATGTAGAATTTCAGCAATCAGGTCTTTGACAAGATAATTAGCTAAAAACAAAGGTGAATAAAAAAGTTAATAAGAGCTTATAATATATTGACTAGGAAAAGTTTTTAAACATACAAAATGATTCACACATTATGAGTTAGTGTTAACTGTAGTTTCATCAAAAATAATTAAAATAAGGTGCATCTCATTTATTTGGTTAGAATTGGAGATATTTTTTGAAAAATATTGTTTGCATTTTCTCTGATCAGTCTTTCTTCATATTACATAACAGCTAGGTATTGTATTCCTCATGTTAAAACCATTGGTACATTGTAGCTCTGCATAAAAAATATTCTGCTGTTACCCTTAGGGACTTGTGAGATGCCAAAGAGATTATATAGTTAGTGATAAGTGGCAAGTAAGGAGTCTAAACTACATCTGTCAATTCCAAAGCCTGCACTCTTAGTGATTCTAAGTCTCCGCAGATGATTGTTCTTCCTTTACCAAGTAGGATTCACCCAACTTATGCCTTGAAGAGCACTGTAATAGCCTTACTGCACATGTGCTTTCTTTCTCCACCTTCTCTGGGACTCAAAGTGTAAGCATACTATAAAGCTAAGACCTTTGTCTTTTCATATTTACGTTCCATAATCTCCCCCACTAAGCTCTTACGTGCATATGCCATTTAACAATGGCCAGACCATGCTGACTTGTTACAATGTGTGTCTATAAAATATTTTCCTAATTTTAAATAACAAATAGTATGAGGTTCATATATTATCATAAATAATATTAGTTGAAAATTATCTCTATCTCTATCATCTCTATCTATTTATTTCTAGCTCTATCATCTCTATCATCTATCTCCGTACTTTGAATGTGACCTTATAGTCTCGATCAATGAAAACGAGTGCAACAGACTATACTGTTGGCTCTTAGCCAGTGAGAATTTGAACAGCATATTGCAAACACCCAATTACATTGGTCTAAGTCATGTTTTGTTTGCAATTATGTGTTCACTTTGCTGTGGCTTCTTTTACTGCCACACCATTTAGTTGGTAAGGAAACGTTTTTGAGACAAACTGGCTAACAAAATGTAGTGCAAATTATATTGCTGGGTCTTCCACAGTGAAAAAAGGGAGAGTATAATGATAGATTTTAAAATGTAGGTTTTATGGTAGATCAAGGTGTTATAAAAGAAGTGGTTGAATGAACAAGTAGTAAAGGTCATCAGGAATTAGGGATTGTGGACATGCTTTGACATGGGAGATAGTATCTTAAACATACTGCTGCTTGGGAATATTGACTGAAGTAGTGTGAATTGAAGCTAGAAAAAAACATGACCACAGGCGAAATCATGAATAAAAGGGCTTTGATAAGGAGGGTGGGAGAACATTGCCAGTATGTGATGACAGGAAAACATCTTCAAAGACACTGGTTCACTATAATTCATTTGACTCTCCCATTTCCAGAACTGCATCCCCTGTGCTATATGTGGCATGCACAAATGCATTACTTCACTACTATAATCTTTTCACTTATATCAAAGACTCCATAATCCAATATCTAGCTACTATTTCTCTCCTGTCTTTGGTTTGATATCTCTTATTGCCTGCTTCAGGTTACTCTTTGAATATTTTATTATTACTTCAAATTCAGCATGTCTAAATCTGAAATTATCATCTTTCTCCTTGAAGCCAACCATTAAGTGTCTGTGAGTTAAACTTTTCATCCATATTGTGAGCCAACAAGTACTACAGCTTTTTAAAATTAGATTTTATACCAGTATCTTCATTTTGGCAGCTAGTATAATCCTTTTCCCAATTTCTTCTAGTCTCCCACTCCATGTAATTCTTCTCAATCTATTGACCGTATTGCCTACCACATTGAAAAGGCTAAAGCCCATTTGAGATACTTTAATTATACTACTCTGCACATTAATTCTAACTTTTTTATGCACCCTCTCCTATCCCTTTATACCTCTTTTGAAATATAAGTATCACTGCATTTTACTAAACCTTACTTCTTCAACTGTTATCTTTTCTACACTGGGCTCCAATTAAAGACCCCCTCTTTTATATATTCAATGTCCACCTCTGAAAGTTGACATAAGTGGAGTTATTTCAAAATGGAGCACAAACCATGATTCCAGGAGAACTGTCTTACACGTCTTGCATTTTGAAACTTTGAAAGGTTTGGACTGGGCCAGACCCTTGGACTAGGCTAAAATCAAGATTATTTTACATATTTTACCAACAATTGCTGGTAATTCTGACAACAAGAATTGATGTTTATGGACTTTCTATTTGAAGATAGAATCAGCAACCAATCAATCATGTATAACTAATGAATAACTCAGCTTTACAGTACCAATAGAATTTCTTACTTTTTCATATAATTATTCCTTTTTTCATAAAATACCCTTCCCTTCACCCTGTAATCAGGACACCATTTCAGTTTCTGCCCGAATCTGTGCTTCCTGAATTACATTTCTTTGATGACAAACAAACACTACTGGCTCGCATTTTGGCCTTTTAATTTTAAATTGACACCCACTCTAAAATTGCTTTTGTCTTTTCTTTGAAATGTTCTGTTTCTATTTAATCAATAAAATCTTCCCTCATTTATTCCATGCATTTAAAATAATGTTATTTATTTATTTATCTATTTATTTATTTTTACCACCCCATGTTGCCAATCTTCTTTAAAGAGTAGATAACTTCTGCAAACAGTTCTCAATTACTCTTTAATCTTTGCAAACTGACTTCTACTTCCAACACTTTGGAAGTCACATGGCCTCCTCTTACAGTTCCAATCACACATGATCTAAATCTAGAAAGCAGTTGAAAATAAAGACACTGACTGTAGAACAACTTTGGAATTGGAACTAAGGACATGGGAATCAACTTCATTGAAGTGACAGCTGAAGATGTGGAACCCAGAATTATGAGCTTTTTCAAAACACCAGCTCCTCTAGAAGGATGACATTTCCTCAGCCTTGGGGAAGCCGAGTTCTCTTTGGATGTAAACCTCTCACCCATCTTCTCCTCTTTATTTATCTAGATTTCATTATTCTTTAAGTTTCTATCAACAGCTATGTTTTATCAAAGCCATTCTTGATAGGGTAGATGAAGGAAGCCAGCATTGTGCATCCTACAAACACAGAATGAATGTAACCACATCAGATGGTCTGAGCATAAAAATTCCTAACTAATATGGGGTCATGGCTGTAGTCACGTCCTAGGCCTATAGCTCCTTGACAAAGGTCGATCTTTCCATTAAATGAACCTGTCTATTGTCTTTCTGCATCTAAGATGACATACCCTTGGAATGTCAGAGTGATGTCCTTTTCCAGGCCCCTCAGGGCACACCTACCATACCAGAGCATTAGACCACAGAACCCCTCATTTTTACCGTGTTCCCCGAATACCATCTCTATGTGCTGTAAATGTTAATTATTAACTAACCTGTACCCACTGATGTAAAAGAAGTATCTGTTTTACTTTTTATCCAATCCCAGAGATTTTCCTACTTTGCTATCTCCTGCCCCTTTAATCTACCATCAGTGGATTTCATGTAACCCTCCTTACTTCTCCTCCTTTAATTTTAATATAGAAAATATGTGGAAAATTGTCATTCTATGTAGCATTTTCTCAATCTGTTGAGAGTTTTGCTTCCCAGCAATTGTCAGTTTGGCTCAAATAAACTCAGAAAAATTCTCTACATGTTTGGACATTTCCTACATTGACAATACATTATTCAGAACTTTGTTATTTACAGAACATCTGTGTTACTAGTAAAACACTAACATAAAGTTTTGAAAGGATCATGCAGGGGTTCCGAACAGGGCACCCCAAGATATACAACTTTGGAATGTGAATGATCTTGAATTGAAGGCAATCGAGACCCTGTGAGCTCATAAGAAATTTTTACCTCTCCTTAAAGAATTTAAATTTGGGCCTTGTCCATAATAAGAGTTATTGCCAGATATAATATTTGATGACCTATCTGTAGGACGGGGCAAACATATCATCACTGATCATCTTGTTTTATTGTCCTATGAATGACCTCTCTCCTTCTGAAGCCCCAGTGTGCCTTACCTCATCCTTAGCTCAGAAAGCCATATATACCTCATTTTAACTTTCTGCATCTGAACCTATCACATGTGTGGAGTCTCTGATGCTCTTGTGTATGTGGGGTTCCCATATATACATATATAATTAAATTTGGTCATTTTCTCTTGTTAATCTTTTCCACATTGATGTGATTATTAGAGCAGCCAGAAGAACCTAGAGGGTAGAAGGAAGTTTGTTCCTCACTCACACAGTTTTGACATAAAGATTACTTTAAAGTAAAAACATTTGAAAATGTTATTTGACTTCTTTTATCTGACTGAAGTAGAGACTCCCTAAAATATAGCTACCATTAACTTCATTCTGAGCTAGTTTCCTGCAAATTCAGGAAAGAAGGCAGACTGGGTATCCATTAGCAAAAAAAAAAAAACCAAAACAGGACAATGTAAATCTTCATACTTCCCTATTAAAGCTCTAAACTATGCCCCATACACTTTTACATTAATTTTGTATAAAAACCTTTACCTCTGGGTATTCAGCAGGTAATTTATTCCTGAGTAATTCCTATGTATGTAAACCTTGTCTTTTTTCCATTAATCTATCTATTGTCAGTTAAGTTACAGCACCCCTACCCCTTCAAATGTCAATGGATAAAGGAAAACTTTTCCCCCCAACAGTGGCAATTGCTTACTCTGTATGTTTCCATGAATGTCCCCTTCCTCCTCCTCCTCTTTTTCTTCTTATAAATACTTTTAATATTTTTGAGGGCACAGACATCCTCTTGACCACCACACATCTCTAACACTAAACACAGTGACCTAATCACTTTACTGAAACTTCTCTTAAGAGTAAAAAGTGGCCTCTGGCTTGCCAAATTCAACAAAGGCATATCTGGAGAGAGAGGGAGCAGTGTTAGAAATTAAATTTTGTAAGTTGGAAGAACAGGAGATGTCTCCCTAGTTCATAATTATTCCCTCGTCCGCAGCAGCTGAAGCCAACACAACCCAGGTTATTCTGATTGCATCAAGGTGCAGAGCCATTGATCTTGGCTGTGCAGTCAGAATCCTGGTTTTAGAAATTTGGAATTGGATCCAATAGAGAGATTGAACTTTCTTTAGGGAGCTGCCCAAATAGCATGTAAGCTTGAGAGCTTGGCTTTCCATGTGTTCTAGAAAATCAAGGGAAATGAGTCAGAAAAAAGCAATAGAAGCATGAGAAGCAATTACACAGGGAGAAGATGAGGTGAAAGGCCTAAGGAATCTTGAACTGCTTGTTTACCTGTACCTTTAAATAATTACTAATGTTTTGCTGAATTCCTACTTTTAAATTCTATATGAAACCCTTGTATTCTTTAAAGGTGTTTTTTTTTTTCTGTTTAAACCAGAAGGAGTTGGTTTCTGTTAGTTTCAAACCAGATGGTCTTTATTAGTTCCAACATATTGTTATGTTTTGTAGTCATCTGTATTCAGAGCCTTGGCTAGAGTAAGAAAAAGCAAAATAATAATAATATCAATGAAAAATATTTATTGGATCATTATTTGTCAAGAAACAATAGATGATCTGTAGAAACTTATTTAGTAGCAACCAAGTTTTGTTTAAAGAGCTAATATTGTTTGGGAAAAGAGTTGACTATACCAGTGAAATAAAATATTAAACAACTTGAAAGACATTCTAAAAATTTAGAGAAATAAGAATTGTCTGGTGAGTTTAATGAGATACAGATTTCTGGGATTCATTCCCGGAGACATTGAGTCAATAGTTATATTTGAGTCAGTGATGACGCTGGGCTGCACAGGGCTACTGTAGTTATTACTGTGGGAATAGAGACTACATGTCAGTGCCTGTCCTACCTCACAACTTACTTACATTTCAATGAAATAGTTCTTTCTAATGCATTTTCACTTATATATAGTTTTATCTAGAATATTTTTGAAATTTATTTTTTGTTTTTAGCTAAAAACTTGCTACACTTACTATTTTATAGCAGGAAAATAAGGTGTCTTGATTAGAGCTATGTGAAGAGAGTTGTTAAAAACAATAGTTAAACAAATGTTGAAAAGATAAGGTTTCCAGTTATTTTTCCTCTTACTTCACTTAAGGGCAAAGTACTAGCTAATAACACTGCTTTTAGTGATTTTAGTCAAAGTTGTGCAGCCTGTACCAGCTTTATGTAGATTTTTATGCTTATATACAAGGTCACTTACCATGTGGCATAAAATGAAGTAGTTGTGTTGAGTTTTCAATACGAATATTTATACTAAACTTTGTATCAGAAAAGAGTTGATATGGAAATGTGGTAGTAGTGCTCCAGATCTTCCCCGAGTTGGAATTAATATCAGCGGCATGATATGTTTCTCTGATTCTGAAAAATATATGTTTAAAAAATAATGAGGATGAGACTATAAGAAACTTCATTAAGGGTTTGCTATGGAAGATTTAAAATACAAAAACAATCAGCAGTGGATTTGTAGTACAGGCCAGATTGGTAAAGATTACAGTTATACCAACTGTAGAGGACTCTTCTTTAAGCTTTTCTAAGAGTACCCTATTTGAAGAAATGAAAAATACATTGTCATTTATAACACATAAAAATTCAATCTGAACAATGATTACTTGCTTCATTGACATTGCTTTGGAATTCTTTGAACTTTTTTCCTTGGTTTTTGCTCATGCCTAACGTTTTCAAGCTGGAAGTCACTCATCCTGATTTAAGGATTTGGGTAAATAAATTAGCTTGTTTGCCAAGCTGGTAAATACCATTTTTGGCTGTCAATTTTCCTTAAATTTTTGGATTTTACACAAATCTTTGAATTTTACATAAATTATTGAGCCCACAAGTCACTTGTAGATTCCAAAGAGTTATTAGTTTTTGCTCAGATGAGTCAGAAAACTGCAAAATAGCTTCTCCTTGGAGCCAGAAGCCTTGAGATTGATCATAGCTCTTCCATTTAGTCATTTTATGGACAGAGACAAATTATTTCACCTGTTTCTTTGTTTGCACAAATTAGAATATTTATATCTACAGTAGTTCCCTCTAAGCTGCGGTTTCACTTTCCATAGTTTCAATTACCCCAGTCAAACAGTCTGAAAATATTAAATGGAATCTTCCAAAATAAACTATAAGGTTTAAAATGTGCACCCTCTGGGACGTATGATGAAATCTTACATGTTCTGCTCCATCCCACCTGGGATGTGAATCATCCCTTTGTTCAGGGTATTCAGTCATTTGTCACTTAGTAGACTGCTCAGTTATCAGATCAACTGTTGGGATATCTCAGTGCTTGTGTTCAAGTAACACTTATTTTACTTAGTAATGTTCCTGAAGCACAAAAGTAGTGATGCTGGCAATTTCAATATGCCAGAGAGAGGCCATAAAGTGCTTCCTTTACATGAAAAGGTATGTATTCATGTATAGGAAAAAGCATAGTAGATGGATGGTTCAGTACTAACTGCAGTTCCATGTATCCACTGGGGAACTTAGAACATATAGCTATGATAAGGGGGGACTACTGTACCACATTTTAGATTTAAAGTGTCAGGTTCCTGGCCATGCTTGTCAGTTTGTTACAATGAGTAGCTTATTCCTGAAGAATCGATATTTATATATTTAAAGATCTTAATTTAGGAATCCAAGTTGTCATTTTAAATTTTTTTCTGTGAACTAGAGCAAGAAGTTAGTTAAAGATTTTCATGGATTTGAGGAACAACTGAGTATACACATTTGAGTACTCATACACATATGAGTACATGGTTCATAGTAAGCCTGCAATATGTTAGCTGTTAGTCCTGTTTATACCAGTACTCAAATTGCTCCAAATTCTATAATATTTCTCCAATTCTTTGATTGGAAAATCTGTACTCTTCCACTGTACCACAGTTGCATTGCATAATATTTAAATTAAAAAGTAACACATGTTGCTTTTATAGACATTTCTGTCTATGTACTTCTACAACCCATGAAATTTTGACCATACAAACCTAGTTTTACTAAGAGAAAGTAGGTCAGCCAAGGGTGAGAGGGAGGGAGGGAGGGAAAAGAAAAAAATATTTTCATGGATTTGACATTTTGTGTTTTTGTACGTGTGCCTTTCAACTTCTTCCAATATGGTTATGAGTTTTTCAGGGCAGGGACCTTGATTTTGTATTTGCTTGCTCATTCTATATTTGACTATTTCATGCATGGGCTAATTATTAGGCATTCAAATAGCCTTAAAATTAATAATTAAATAAATGATTCAAATATTTAATCCTAAATGATTTAGTAGGAAGCTGCTATAGCTGATAAATATGCTAAAGTTTATTTATATGTATATTTATTATATTTAAAACACCCATAAATGGATAAGAATCAAGAGAACTAAAATGCAAATGCATTAATTTTTTAAAACTTTCAGGAATCTTAGCACTAGAAGAGATAGCATTATACAAATTTTAATTGTTAATGAGAAATTGGTCTTTAAAAAAAGGCATCTACTTTTATAAGTTTATTTTTAGATTAGCAAAAAAGGGGATCAGTGATTTTTTTTTGTAATATCCCTAGTGAAAAAAAATTGCTTTTCAGTGGAAAAACAGCCATGCACTTGTTCTATATCCTGGCAGCTCATTCAAGATAAGATTGTGTTATTAAGAGAAAGACATTTTCATTATTCTAAATAGTATATCCCATGTAGGAAGGATAAATCAATGCTAATTTGGGATAGAGCCATAGGAGTCAGTCAGTCATTTATGTCATTAAATGAGAAATGAATTCACTGAAAACTAAACTATCAACAAATAGCAAGGGCAGACCTAAAATTATTAAACATTCAACTTTAACCAAATTTTCATGAGAAAAATAATTATTTGACTGAAAAAACAACAAAAACAATCCCAGAAGTTTATTAATGAACTAGTTTGTTATAAATTTATACTTTCACTACATTAAAAAATTGCAGAACATTTAATATGCAAAATTAATCAGTTCAGTGATGCTAGAATAGACAAATTTATGCAGGTAAAGAAATTTCAAAGTTTAATGAAATAGCAATACTCACCTTTTCACTTTGTCACAAAAGGAGGCCAGACTCATATTACTGCCTTGAGGTACTTCAACTAGCTGAATGGAACAACCTATCAGCTTAAAATGAAAATTGCTAAATTAATGTAGTTTGGCATGGAGAAAAGATGAATTCAATTCTATAATTTTTTTCTTGATTTTAAGATTTATTCTGTTTTTATTTTTTTAGATTTTAATGAAGTAATACATATAGAAAATTGCATGAATCTTAAATATATAACTTAAGTTTTGAGGAATGTATGCAGCTGTGATATCAATATCCCAATCAAAATATGGAACATTTCCATCACTTTAGAGAGTTCCTCCACATCTGTACGTCTATGTATGTCAGTCTGTAAATCTATTTTTTTAACTACAGTTATTCAGATTTCTATCACCATAGACTGGGTGTATGGGCTCTTTTGTTTCTGGCTTCTTTCAATTAAATTATATATATACATATATATATGTATATGTATATATATGTATATATGTATATGTATATATATGTATATATGTATATATATAAAATTTATCTATGTTGTTGCACATATCAATATTTCATCCTTTTAATTATTGATTAGTACTATTCTAATGCATGAATATGCCACAATTTGTTTATTTATCTTCCTGTTGATGCACATTTTGGTTGTTTATGTTTTGAGGTATTATAAAGAAAGCTTAATTGTCCTATACAAGTATTTATATGAACATGTGTTTTATTTCTTGTGAATGCATCCATAAATCGCTCAGTCAGAGGGTGGGTGTATGATTGACTTTAAAATAAATCATTTTTGCTTTATGTATTTTGAATCCGTTATTAGGTACATATACTTTTAAATTTATGTCTTCCTGATTGACCCTTTTATCATTATGAAATGATCCTTTTCTTTCCTCTAGGAACACTCTGCCTTGAACTGTACTCTTTCTGATACTACTAACCACACAGGCTTTCTTTTGCTGGTTGAATGTTAAATCATTTTATTTCTTTTGCTTTCAACCTATCTGTGCCCGTTTCTTAAGTGTGTCTCTTGTAGACAGTAGTAAAGTCTCTTTTTTATCTAGTTTGTCAATTTCTTCCTTATATTTGGAATGCTTAGCCTATTCATATCTAGTGTATTTATGGATATTTTTAAATTTAAGACTGTCATATTGATATTTGTTTCTACTATTTTATGTTGTTCTTCTATTTCTCCTTCCCTGCCTTTTTCAAAGTATTTGATCATTCAACATTTTGGCATTTCTCTTCTCTCAAGGATCGATGTCCTATGCTGCCTGTTGTTCAATGCCTAAAATCAGTTGCTTCATATATTTTTGTCTAACTTTATAATTCTTTTCAGTGGTAAGGGAAAAGTTAGTACTTGTTACACTGTCATATTCTAAAGTAGATGTTCCAAAAATTCATTGGCTTTTAATTTAGATGAGTTGAGTTGCTACCTCATCTGTAAGTGCCTCAGACAGAATTGTTTATTCTGTGAACTCATCCTATCTGCTATTTTGCTGTGTTACCTTTATTTGTTTGCAGGTTAATTTGACTAATATGCTACTCCTAAAATCAGGCATCATGTATTTTTTTCTTTTTATTCATTATGCCTCATATACCATGTATATTTTAAGAATATGATAAATAGTTGTTGAGTAAATGAAGAATCCTTTTGCCTCATGCTGTAAATTATAGCGGCAATAATATTTCTTCTTTTTACTGTTTGCTTCCTGTTTCACTTGTGTCTAGACTCAGCATAAGAACAGAAATGTTCAAATATTGTACAAGAAACTCTATAGTTACTAAAATGATTGGAAACTACTAGTGAAACCATTAGGATGAATTGCACAATGATTACTTAGTTTCCTACTCTTGGAATGATCCGAATAGAAGTTGCCTGCCAACAGTATAATTTAGGAGCCTCTGAGTAAAGGGATATTTTCCTACCAATAATGATCTAAAGTTTTAATTCATGATAGTATGACTCAAAATATAAATGTAATGAAATGTTTGTGTTTCTGAGCATGCATAATAACATGATAAGAATATAAAAAACTATCATCTATGATATTTTTTATATGATACTATATTTTATATGATACTATGATATTTTTATCTAATAAAATATATATACTACAACATTATATTTAGATTTGATGAAACTGGAAGTTTAAAAATATTAGAAAAATGTTATTCCCTTTCTTCAGAAAAAATAATTAATTCAGGAATACAAAATACATATATAAATAAATTTTTTTTCAAAAGTAATAATAATGCATTGTCCTATTTAAGGTTCATTACCCTCATTACCAAATTAATCCAGCATACTATTACATTATTCTTTTGGAATCATAATTTCAGGTCAACATATATATGACACATACCTCTATTTTCTTTGGCCATGTACTTTCCCATATCTTTGGTAGAAAAGAACATTCAAAAAGCATTGGAGAAGGTTCCACAATGTTCATAGTTCCACTCGTTTTATTCTTTTCTCTTGGCATGAAGTCAGTTGAGCAGGATGGATATGTAGAAGGAATGCTACTTTCAAACCCTATAGGATAGTTATGATTTTCATTTTGTAATTCTATTTGTGAATTAATTTTATCCAAACTAGTGGATGATGGAGCTAAAGTATTGAATCTGTAATCATTGGGACCATGGCATTTTCCTATGGGGTTTCCCCAAGAGCTTTCTTTATTCATGTTCTGAGGGTTTGGTAGCACAGAATGCCTAAAACCAATTACTGGTGTTTGCCTGACCTGGTGACAGGAGAGTTCTGAGCTTTTAGATGTGAATTCATTCAAGGATATTTGCTGTGTTTCATCTAATGAATGTTTTTTTGAGTTCCACTTTGGTGCACTGGGCACAAAAATTGTGTTTTCTTCAATTTCACTCTGATAGAGCGGGATTTTATTACTGATCTCATCTACTAGCTGATCAAAACCCAGGCTGACTTGGCTAGCACAAAGGGGTTGATTTGCCGAGGACAATTCTTGGTGCTCATGCTGTTCTTCATATGATTCACTGGGATTTAAATCTGTTTTCCAACAATATGCCATTCTTTATTTTATGTAACTGAGAGGGTTTGTCTCTGCTCCAAATACCTCCTTGATGATGTTATAACAGAGTACAAGAATTTCCCTAGAAAAAGCATAAAAAGAAAAAAAAATGTTCTTTGATGAAATAGAAATAAAAGAGCTTACAAGAAAGGAATATGATGAATAAACATAAACAATTATTTTAAAGTTTCTCCTTAGCAGATGAAATAATTACTTGAGTAAAATAAAGCTCCATCAAGGCTCACTACATTAAAGTCCATGGGAGAGGATTGACTTCAGATACTCATGAAACTCCTGTGATAGAAAAATAAATCCACTTCAGTTATGATAGGAGTTTCCTGAATCAATCCACAGACAATATTCCACTTTAGACTCCTTTTCTTACTGAAGATCCATTTGCTTATATCATCAGTATTTTCCTCTGTACTTGGTCATCTATAAGCATGCTAAAGTCTCTTTATTAGCTAAATCGTCTCTTCTGTATCAGCAGTGGCTCCATCTCTAGACATAGTCTTAACTTTTTCTGCCCTCCACAGCCAATCATCTTATAGGTTGGTTAGATCCTTTCTTCTCCCCCAAACTTTTAAAAAAATTGCAAACCTTTTTCATCACTTCTCCAAAATGACTTTCAATAAGGTAATCAGTGAGCTTCATGTCAGTGAATTCAACTGACATTTATCAGTCTCTGTTCATCTCTCTGCAACATTTGATTCTATTCACCACACTTCTTATTTAAAAGTTCCTTGCTTTCCTATTTTGGCTCTTTGAACTGTACTCTCCGAGTTCTTCCTTTTTGCTTTTTTCTCAAAGACTTCTTTGCCTAGTACTCATTTTCCACTTGACTCTTGTCAATTATCCTCTCCTTGGAGGTTATTTTATATCTCTTATAGCTTAAAAAAATCATCTCTATGTCAATGACTCCAACCTAGACCATTCTTCTTATTACTCAGTATCTCCTCTTAAAATATTTTAACCTCCAACAGAGAGTTCAAAAATTAAATCATAATTCACCCAAGCACATATTCCTATTTTAGTGTTCACTGTGACAGAAAATGGCCCAACCATCTACTTAATTGCTTAGACCAGAAACGAGGGTTTCATCTTTGAATCTTCCCCCACCTTTATTCTTCTATATCCAATAAACCACCAGTTCCTGTAGGAAATCCTTCGTCCTCTCTCTGGCTACCAATGCCATAATCCTAGTATCAGGTGTTCACTTTATTACCTGCAATGTTGCATTGTTTCTGAAACTGCTTCTATGTTTTCTGCAATCTATTTTTGTGTCCTAGAATCCATTTTGTTATATTATAATGATATATTTTAAAAAACCAACCAAGTATCTCCCCTGCAAATAGCTTTTAAGCGGTTTTCTACTGTCTCTGGATAATATCTATAGTGTTACATATGTAAGATTTATCTTTCCTATTAGATCATTAGACCACGTTAGTCTTTCTCACTTATAACTCAGTACCTAGTACTTTTCTTCACTCAGAGTAGTTGCTCATTTGTATTTGTTGAATAATGATTTAATAAATTTTAAAAAATTATAATTGAGTGAAACAAAATGAAATTGGAAAGTATTTGTGCCACTTCTATGGATTTATTAATTTCCTTAACAATTATATGTGTCTGTAAAAGACAAAAAAAATGTAAGGGATAATTATGATAATGGTTAACTATCAAATATGATTATCATTCTGTTTTGCAATGACATCTGATTTTTATTATATTGGTGTTTAAGATTTACTTAGAATTTATAACCACCAAAGAAACAAATGAATTAGATTTATTATATGTCACTCAAGAAATTGAATTGATAGATGTGGGAAAGATATTTTAAGAGATATAAGTAAAAAATGTGTAGAATGAAGTGTTAACCAGAAAATTGATCTATAAAATATGATTCTAAGCTATTTTAATTCATGGCCCAAATAGATATATTGTCTAGCCAGAATCCTTTTTTCAGGAGTTGCTATTTATTAAATCTCCATGTTATTAGTGAAAGCTACATTTCTTTAAGCAGACTGTACTTCTCCACTTGTCTTTGTCATAGAACTCAGAATTTGTCAGCATGTGTGACTTGGACAACCCAAGTTAATATTCTACTCTAGTCTTCTTTAGCCTAGCCTCCTCTGTCTTAGCTTAAATACAGTAAATGTCACTATCTAAAAGTGACTTTTACAGTTTTGGGTGGTTTCAAAAAACTTGATCGAGTTTTTTTAAAAATTATTTTTTCATTTTGTAGAGCCATCACAGGAGGTCTTTAAATAAGGTATCAGGTCTGATGCTGAAACTAAAGACTCCCTTAAGCTGTGCCACCTTGTTGTTGTTGATAATGATTATGATACATAAACGTTTTTGAGCACCTACTCTGTGCTACTGCTCTACACACATGTTCATGTTTACTTGTATTAACATATTTATTTCTCATCTCAACCCATGATACTATCGCCACTTAACAAAAGAGGAAACTGAAGCACAATGCGGTGAACCAATTTACCCATGATCTCAGAGTTTGTGTTCAAGGTTTGTTTTAAGCAGGGGTTACAGAGAGACATAGGGGTGATCATGCTATACTTATATGACATCTGGAGTATCCCTAAATTAGGGCACTGAAGCATGGCATTAACTCAAACTATCTCTACTGAAAAGAATTGAAAACTTTTACATTTTTATTAGTAACAGTATTTTTTTCAAGCATTTCTGGCAGCACTAAAACTGAAATGGGTTCAAGGCCTGTCTGAAAAATCTCATTATCATGAGATAAAGGAGAATAAGAAATACTTATTAATATTGAAAATGTAATAAAAACAAAACCTCTTCCAGATCCATTTTTTTTTCAGTATCAAATTTGGTGATTTTAAGAAATTTCTAATAATTTAAAATCTACTCTTTATTATGATCTAGAAACTAGAGTATTTCTTAGTTTATAAATACATGGAAATGATATTTATTGCCAGCTGTCAAGTATTTACATTCTGCATTGTGAAGTAATGCATAAAGAATTAAGTCATAGAACTTGACTTTGAGGCAGAACTGTACATACAGATTAGCAGCAGTTTATGACGTAATTGAGAGGGTGTGGCTATCATTTCCTGATTTCAGTAAGATTATAGAATGATAGAAAACATTTGTGGTAGGCAGAATAATGGCACCAGCAAAATGCTCATGTTTTAATCCCTGGAACCTGTAAATATGTTAGGTTACATAGCAAAGAGGGATTAAAAATTGCAGATGGAATTAAGTTTCCTAATGAGCTGATTTTAAAATACGGAGATTGCCTGAGTGGGTTCAGTGTAATCACAAAGATTCTTCAAGTGGAAAAGGGGGCAGAAGAGGTCAGAGTGATGTGATCTGAGAAGGACTCAACTTGCTTTTGCTGGCTTTAAAGATGGAAAAAGGGGGCCATGAGCCAAGGAATTCAAACAGCCAGTAGAAGCTGGTAAGGGCAAGGAAACAGATTTTTCCCTTAGAAGCCTCCAGAGGCATAGTCCTTACAGCATGAGATTTTACAGTGATTTTAGTACGAGAGACCCCTGTTGTATTTCTGACCTACAGAATTGTATAAAAGTTTGTGTTGTTTTAAGTCACTTAGTTTGTGATCATTTGTTACAGTAGCAATATAAAACCAATATAATATGCAAACTGAAAACTGCTCCTAAATCGATTGGAAAATCAGGGACTAGAAGTATAGAAGGCCACATAAAAATACTCATCTATTTTTATGTTGGCAAGTTCATGTAAGTACTAACAGGATATTTAAAAGATGTTAGTAATCACAACTTAGTGTACATTCAGTTGCTTATAGCTTTCTATTCAGTTCAACTTTCAAGAGGTCAGTTTTTATTGAATGTTTATTATTCATCAGGCCTCAAAGAGAAAGCACAGACAAAATGTAGGCATCTATCAAAGAAAGGGCAACCCCTTCCATCTGCTTCAATTTTCTAAGTATACAAAGAAATGCATTTTGGTTCACTGTTTTTAACCTAATAGATTCTTTTCACTCAGAGTGTATTTGAAAATGTCAGGCTGCCTTTCTATCCCCCACACCGCATAGTACCTTGTCAGAATATTGAAATAATTTTATGCAAGAAGGTTGTGGTTTTGATTTAATAGGATTTTAATAAAAGTTTTCCATCTTCTGAAGTAAGTTTAAATAACTGAATATTCATGTTATATCTGTGGCAAGTGTTTCTGCTTCAATTTTCTAAATATACAAAGGTGCTAATATCATCCAAACAGCTCCAGTGTTCAGAATGGGAACAAAAACATTTATTTTATAAAAGAATGAAGAGTAAAAAGAACCTTTCTGAAAATGTCTGTTCTTGATCCAAAAAGTTGTGGCTAGATTACTGATAGGTATATCTACAGGGGAGAGACGAGAAGAGGGTGAAAAGAATAAATTATGAGGTTGAAGAAAAATGATTTTTATTTCATATAAAAAATTGTAGGCATTGAAACTTTACATTTTTAAAATACATATAAATCTCATGGAAGATAAAGATTGTGCCAACACAAGACATGTCAAAGTTTAATCAAGCTACACCATTTGTATTTCCAGTAAGGTGAAGGGGAAGTCTATATATCTATGGAAACTAACTTGGTTCCTGAGAAGACTGAGTTAGCAGGATGATCTGAAATCCCCATCTCTCTTCATCTCCTGAGCTAATTGAATATATCATGCATATGCACACAGAAACTTATAGTTTAGATAGACATAAACCTAACCTTTCTCAGCTCAATTTGTTGTATGAATACAGAAAAAGACCACAACCAATTATATATATTTCTGTATTCATACTACAAACATTTAAAAATGTATAAAAATATACATATATATTTTTACATTATCTCATTTTTTTCCATTTCTAATTTGGAATTGAGTGATAAGGTAAACATATTATTTTCATGAGCTCTGATATTATTTTCACCTAAGTGGGGAAAATATTAATTTTCAAACAGTCTCTACCAGGTGCCTTTTTACATGAAAAAGTGACATTTTTTTAATCATGTAAATCCTATATGAACCTCATGTCTCATTAGACTGCCTAAAGCTACCTGTATATGGAGAAATTGAAGCTG